CGTAATACTTGATAGCTAATTAGTACCTTTGCCCTCAATTTCCTATCCCTAAGCTTTATACAGAAATCTCCTAAAGTAGATTTTAGGATGTATAGAGTCCAGCAGGATTAAGAAGGGAGAAAATTAGCTAACGTTTCTTGAGGCCTTACTACATAACCAGGCATTATCACAAAGTGATGACATTAATCTGCATACTAATTTTGTGCAGAGGCTGTTTGTGTCCCGATTTGGCAGGTGAGGATGTTGAGGCTTAGAGAGGTGATCACTGCATTGTACAGAGCCATTGCTGTCTCTCTCCAGAGCCCATGCGCTCTCCAGCAACAGTAACCACAGTTATGAGCATTGATTGAGTGCCGAGTATATGCCAAGCACTTTGTGGAGGTTACGTAATCCTCCCAGGAACACTACCCTCCTCAGGCCTTCCCTGAGGCCCACTTTTACAAAGAGGAGAAGGTGCGAAATTGCCCTCCTCCTGTGGGCATCCTGGCTCCCCATAAAATACTACAAGTGTCAGCCCCCCACCTCTCTTTTCCGTGAAAATGCTTCTGAAATAAATTGCTCTCTGCTGGGAAGAGATTTGACTCATAGACCTTCCCAAAGAGGAGCTTGTCAGCCTATGGAAAGCTCCAGTGGGCTAGCTGATTGGAGCACATAGCCTTCAATGGCCTCCTGTTTTCCAGTCTAGACTCTGTCACAAGCTACTGGCAACCTCTGGGGCCCCAGGTACTTGAAACAGAAAAACCTGTTGGCCAGCTTGACAGATGTAGGCCCATTCATGCAGTCAGCTGATGCTCTGCTCAGGTTCATCTGGGCTCCTCTGCCTTTGGGACCAGCATCACTGTGTAAGTTTCTCAAATGGAGAAGCAGCCTGAGTGATGAAACATGAGGGCCTTTTGTCTTGATTTAATTAGAAGATGTCTCTCCTTCTCTCTCCAGTTTCTGAGTCCTATGCAATTAATTGGCTGGTAGCTGCTTCTTGCCAAATGATCAGAGAGGAACATTCCATGTATTTGCCTAGATGTGCATCAGAGTTTCTCTGGAGAGGAAAAGTGGTACAATATGCAATGTGCCAACACTAAATGTGAGCTGGTCTTCCTCAAGACTAGCCCTCAGCGTGGGACTTGGCACATGTAGGAACTGATGCATACATGCTGAGTGAATGAGTGAAAGGGAAAGAAAGGTAGCTCCTTTGGGTGGGAGGTGCCTTCCATGAGTGCCTACCGGATGGAGTGCAGGATAAATAGGTCCAAGATAGGCTGGCTTCCCCACCTTCAAGATACATTCTACCTTTGAGGGACTTTTAGAACCAATATGCAAGATACTGATTTCAATCCAAAACAACCTCTTTCATGTTTAAGAAAGCACAGAATTCTGTAGACTTAAGGAAAAGAGGTGGTTGCATTACATGTTTGCTGCTTTTTAATTGCCTATCATTTAAAATCAGCCTTGCTTAACCCACATTAATGTACACAATTATAATAAACCTTAAGATATTTCATGTGTCAATGTTAAGGTTTCCTTTTTTAAATGTAATAACTTGGTGTATTTCATGGTGTGATTTATTTTCTCCTATTACTTGAAGCCATTCTCTCTACAAAAATAAAAGCTTTAAGAAGTATTAAATCTAAAGAGAAAAAAAAGTAGCATGATCTAGAAACTATGGATGTACAGGGAGTGTGGAACTCTAGACCTGTCAGATCTTAGTGAAGAATATTTTATTCTTTTGGGCCCATCCTCCCTTTCACTATTGCAGCTTGGCCGCCTGGTCCTTGTTGAACACTTGAAATGACCAGGAGCTTAGGTCCTTACAAGCCCATTCTGCAGTGGAAATGCATTCTTGAGTTACAACATGTTTCCCTTTAACTATCACCCCTGAAATAGATAAAGAGGTTTATTGAATTCTCTCTCTGTCAACTCTTCTCCCATGTAAAGACCCCTGGTCCCATCAACTCTTCTTTGACAGTAATTCTGAATACACACCTCTTAAACACCCTCCTCAAAGGTGCTCCCCCATCACACCCAAATCCATTCCAGCAGATGTATATCAATAGGCAAGACTTTCACCTTGCTCATTAAGGCCAGTGTCCCGGGCTGTCAGAATTTTGTTGAATAGTCATTCTACCTATCAAGCAATCCATGCTTCTGAGTTTTGTATCTGAAAATATAATTTACATGCCATCTATGTCTTGATCCAGCCTAGGGCCAAAAAGGGTATCAAGAATTCAGTCGAAAGGTAGAAAACACAACAGAGAGATCCCTCCACTACTGAGCAGGGACAGTGGGACCCAGTATTCAATAGGCATTGAACTAGTGTCCCCTTAGCTGCTTTCTCACTGCAACCTTAGCTGCCATCTTGGCTATATGAGTACCATTAGGAAAGGAGGAAGTTTTACCAGTTCGAAAGACAAGGACTATTACAGCAACTCCTAACCAGATATTTCTAGGATTCTCTGTTGATAATAGTATGTAACACAAAGACCTAAAAGAAAAATAAGGTAGTGTCATTTTGAAAAATCACTTAGCAGACCAGGTTCCCACCAAGCAGGTTGATCCCAGTACTCAGCCTCCCCTATTCCTCCTCCTTCAGAGATCCACACCTGTGTGGGCCCCCCACCCCATGCGTTCCCACGTGATGTCCCCCAGGGACTCTGCTCATGAATGTATTCAACCTGTGAATTTCTACAGAACGCTTTCCTCTTACAATGTTTCTCTGCACAGTATCTTTGCCCTATGAAGGTCCCAAGGGAGAAAAGCTTCCACCAGGAGACTCAATGCTGGTTACATTGAGTTGAAACTTGAGACTGCCACCTGGTCAGTTGGGGCATTTCTTGCCACTGAAACAACAAAGAAGAGGGTTCTTTTACCAGCTGGCTGACTGCTCTTGATGCTTGAGAGGGGAAAAGGGTCGTTGTTAAACAGTGGAGGCAGGAAGGACCATATCTGGAACTTAGGAGATCAGTGTTCTGGGAGTATCTCTGTGTTCCCATGTCGAATAATACACGGTAATGGAAGACTGTAATGACTCATGCAGGCAAGACCACTAAGGGATCAGATTGGTTAAGAAAGAAGGTTTGCATCTTCCCACCAGGCAAACAACCACAACCAGCTAGATTAGGTCATAGGGAACTGAAATTCTAGTGGAAGAAGGAAGTCACAAATACTGACCGTGACCTCGTGGCCAGCTGCAAATCGAAGAGCTATAGAAGCTATACTGACCCATTACTCCTATTTCTCCCATTTCAAAATCCTATGTTAAAATTGTGAGTGGTGCTTAATCTTATAATCTAACCTATCGATCAAGTATATCAAAGCATAATTATGACAGAATTAGACATCCCCCAGAGAATGAGAGGGTATCAAATGGGACTTTTGATATTGCCCCTCCTTGGAGAAGGTGAAGGCATATTTCCCTATACGAGATATGGTTGCATCGTGCTTGATCACTTGGAAGAAAAATGTGAATAGAAGTATTGTGGATGGTGAGTGTTCAAAGAGGTAGGCCATGCTGTACTGGCTGTTAGCAACCAGGCAACGTGTCTGCCCCTTTGCACACTTTCTCCTTGATACTGAGGGATAACCCTAGGAACTGCATGTCCCAGAATCCCTCATCAGGTGCTTCTGGGCTCAATTCCCCAGCTACTAGAGTACTCTAGAGGAGAAATCCTTACTCTCTGGCAGCAGCACTGGGCATTATAGGTTGTCAAAAACAGGGCACACATGGGATTTTTTCCCAGTGGCTTCTGGGAAACCTCCTGAGAATCACCCAGCACCGTCCTGCAGGCAGCTGGGACCACTAGGAGCTTTTTCCTCATGCAACACCGGCAGTCTTCACTGCTCCAGCCTTCTACTGCTTATGTAAGCCACTGACTCCCTGTTCTCAACCCGGCCTGCTTGGGAAAGAGTGGCACTGCTTTCTTGACGGGCTCCTCCATGAACACTGCCTCCATCCAGCCTTCTGTACAGCACGCCCTGCCTGTGAATGGCCTCTGCACCGTGCACTCTGCCTGCGAGTGCTTCCTACTGTGCCTTCTGTGCCATGAAATGTCCCTGCTCAGGCCCTCCTTACTGTGCTCCTTCTGCACAGTGCTGTTCCCCAGGAGCACCTTGTGTGCCAGGCCCGTTACCTAACAGCACCTACAGGACTCCTTTCCCTCTGAACATCCTCTAAACACTGATCCCTGCTCATGAGTGCTGCCCATGTCCCCCTACCCCTAGAAAGATGGCTGCACCATGGCTGGATTACAAAGAAGCACAAGGACAGTTTTGAGGGTGATGTATATGTTCACTATTTTAATGGGGTGATCAGTCCACAGATATATATGTGTGTCAAAACTAATAAAAATGAACTCTTTAAATATGTGCAGTTTCTTGTGTGTTAAATATATCTCAATAAACTGTTGAAATATGAATATGCTCTCTGTCGTTATGGATTACTTTATATTT